AAATCTGTTTTAAAACGACGTTTCTGTTACTTAGATTATTCGGTAGACGGAGCTTATTTTTTCTCTTGCAAATGGGCGCAACTATACAGGGTGTCCCGTGAGGATTTACTCATTGCGATACCTCCTGAAATAATAGAGATATCGTAATTCTGTTTTCTTATTAAGACTCACAGAGGTAAGCACTACAAATAACTAATTTTTTATTTTTATTTTTATGTTTTGGTAAGAAAGTTAAAAAAATTATTTTTTTAATTAATTATTTAAAAAAATATTGAAGATTGCCATTTTGTAGAGTTCATTTTTCTGAAAATATTGACGTTTCAACATTTTAATTTCATTAATTTCCTGATTTTTAATAATTTTTTTAATTAATAAGTAAAACGGCAAAAAACCGGTTTTTGTCCGGGCGGCGAGTCCCCCTCTACGGCTAATAGGTAAATCCTCACGGGACACCCTGTATACTTAAATAGCCGTCTAAACGTTGATGCAAAAAAAATTCGGAAAATGGTACTTTTTACTTACATAGGTGTGGGCGACATACCTGTTGAAGGCTTTTTTACTACACATTTTACTTATTTTGCATTTTCTCATCGAAGAATTTCCGATCGAACTTCAAAACTAATACAGATAGTTTAATCCGTCATTGAGGAACACTTTTGGCAAAAAAAAATTTCAAATATTTTAGACGAAGAAATAAGAATAACGATTTTAGTTGTTTTTTTTAATTTAAAAATATTATCATTAGCTGGTATATAGGCTTACTGATAGACCATCTCCACTCAGAATCGTTTTTAGTATACAATGATATTATACGATTGTATTCAAATTTAACACCAGTCTTTACAGTGGTCCACTTGTAAGTTTGTAACCTACTGTACAGCAGAGTGGTATCCACCTTTTTTGCTATTTGATCTATACCACCTTTTGCTGCTACCTACTTTTAAATAAAAACTACATTAATTATTAAATACACGGGTTATTAAATATAAAACAAATTTTTCTCTATACATTTTTTTAAAATAAAGGTATATTTATAGGTCTCTTATTATTTTAACAAAGGTCTTTTCATTTAAATAGTTTCATATTTTCCATTTTATATTTTTAAATAAAATAAGTGTATTACAAAATAATGAATTCCGGAGTACTAATAAAATAATAATTTTACTGTACCAATTTTTAGTCATTACAAGCATATTTTTGTTCAAATCAGAGTAAGAAATATTACAAATATTAACATTAGGTATAGGGCTAAGGTGAATAATATCATATTAATCAAAATACACTGATCTTACAATGAAATAACAGAATTATATTATACTGTGTATTTGTAAATAACTTGTTGAATCCTTGAAAGAGCTTATGCATTTGAAACACGGCGTTGAATTTAATTGTATGGTAATATCAGTATTCAATTCGAGTAAAATCAATATATAATGACAAACGTATTAAGTAAGTCAAATGTCAAAACCTAATCCAACGAAAACTCAAATATAAACAGGCAAGCGATAGAGAGCTTTAAATCACATGGGAACGACTAAAGATATTACACACACCTCATCCACAATATGTAGGCCGTAAGGGTATTGTAGGTAGGTACTTGATAGGTCGCTAACATTCAAAAGGAGCACTGCGTTTCTCATTAAAACAGAAAATGTACGCTGGAAATACCAGAATTAATTTAATTGGATAGCTCTAAGTAGGGAGCAACTCACCTAAAAACGCTTAGAATTTCTGCATTAGCTATATGTTTTTGGATGACCAAATATGGATGGCCAGTATAGGGTAGATATTAAACAAATATACACTGCATTACATGGGACTGTACGCATTATGACAGGCTACTTAAAAGTTAAAACCAATACCAGTAAGTAGAGAGACAGGAATATACCATCTAGCAGGAATAGCGTCACCACATATTATACGTAGACAGATTGCTGGTGAAATTGAATGGACAAAACAGATATCGGGTAAAAGTCACACTATATATATATAACTCCAGTTTGAAACGTTTCAGTTTCTTCCAGAAAAAAACCCTACAATGCACAAATATATTAGAAAATAACCCTCAGACAGCAAGATTAAAATTTAAAACTATGCGGGAGACAGAGTCTAAGTGAAAAGTCGAGAAGAATTATACCTAAGTATAAACTTTTTTTGTAAGTACAGGTCATTTCTAGATAATTTGGCAGCTAAAATAGGTTATGGAATGCGATTCGTAGAGAACATGTATTGAACATAAGGTAGTTAAATTAAATCAGCAACATACTCGATAGAGGTAAATGGATTTAATTGATTTATTTGTATTTCAGTTGATTTTTATTGTAATGAATAATGACAATAATTAGAATATATTATAATTATTTAAGCTATTCGTCCAATGTATTTTGTTGTTATAATGTTTTTTTCTATAATTTAAAATAAATATATAGATTACTGAATAACGTAAAGTTTACAGTTTTTATATATTTAATAATATATTCACTGTTTATCATGTGAATCTAGTAGGATTTTAAACACTTTAAAATAACGTTAAATTGGGTACATTAAAATTTATATATAATGATATATAACTGTCCGTAAAACGGTCATTGTATCTATATGAACCGTTTAATATAATTTATTGAATTTAAATGTATATTTTTATTATTATTATACATTATTCATGGCACATCATACATGTAATGAAAATAATATAATAGCCTACATAGGTAATATTTTGATGAAGATTATCGTAGATTAGAATACTGAGATGTATGTCTATAATATCATAACTAGTAATACATTAGTACTTGGTACCGAATAAAGAACATCTTTCCTCAAATGGTAGAGACAATACAGTGAGACATTTTTTATTTGTTTGTTTTAATATTTTACCTAATACTATATTATTAACTTTTTGTAGATTTGATAAATTTAAAAGACAAAACAATTAATACCAGGACCACGCTATTGAAACTTGTACGAAACATTAATTTATTGATTATGTGAGTAACTTTGATTGTTAAATAATTAGTTATTATAAATATTTTGAAGTATTATAAAGTTGATAAATTACTTATTCTATATATTTATTATATTTTAAAAAATCATTAGGATAGGTACCTATACAATTTTATATGATATAAATCATTTGAAACTAAAAAAAAAATAGTTTAAGTACGTAATAATTTAAAAAAGTTTTTTAAATTTCGAGTATTTGATGTGAAACAAACTATATTATAGGCGCTTAATTTTCATCAGACACTGATATGTATATATTTAATTAATTAATTAATTTTATAAAAATAAAAATAATACATTTGAAATACATATTATTTTTAGGACACCCCCCCCCCTACAGAACATTTTTAATAATCCACCACTGAGTGGGTTGATTCATTTGTATATACTATATTATTTTGGTATAACTATTTGTAAGGTAAGTCTATTATGTTTAAAAGATTACCCATCAAAAACATATATTTTTCTTTACTATTGTATTAGGTGTACCTTAATATGAAATTTCACACATCAAGGGAGAACTACTAATATTACTATAACTACTTATTGAATACAAATGACCATATGAATATTATATATTATTTCATTTAAATTAAATTTATTGTAGGTACATGGTATTTTTTTCCTCCACTCTAAACCTTTTCTTTTATAATAATTCATACAACTTAGAACTGTAAATTTTAGCATTCAAATTTAAAAATATTCAATACCTACATATTTTTAAGTTTTGCATAAAGCATATTATGTACTTTTTTGTTTAAATAATAAAACAAATAGTGGTAAAAATCAAGTAGTGCGTGTTTTCCAAACTACGACAAGTAGTTGTTGTAATCACATTATGTCATTATAGGTATGCAATTTTTTAGTCTAATCTAAATATTTTTTAATTCTAAATATTTATTACAGGTCTGAAAATGATCAACGACGACGACGTATCTTTATCAGGACCGTAGTGAAAGTATTGATGGTTGTCTTAGTAACAGTTGTTGGAACTTTCCTGTATATCTGTTCCGATCAGACTCAACAGTTATTTTCGATTTATCACGTGATTGATAGTGATGTTAAAACACAAAATCATGACAGATTTTTATTGTTAACCAATGCAACAGTGATCACAGTCACTACTGAAGCCTCACTAGACTTCACACACACTGCTCAAAAACGAAAGGAATTTCAAATGACCGAAGAAGATGTGGCTGTAACGATAGTAAAAGAACGCGTATTTAGTAATCACTCAACCTTTGAGGACTTACAAACTAACAGCAGGTCTCTGATCACGGATATATTCCCAGAGACTAATTTCATAATTAGACCATTGATATCCAACAGTGAAACTTCAACGGTCCACGGAAATGTTATAAAAGATAATCATTCACTGATTAACCATAAAAACGTGAACAAAATTATCGACAATGACAAAGTATACAACAAAATCGGCACTACAGGCAATGATAGATTGTATCATACTATGGACAATGGGTAAGAAATCTGTATTTAAAGGCAGTGATTTAGATTATAATATAATTACCACAGTGTCTGAGTATACAATTATGTTGAACATTATTCTTACATTACATTTTCGTATGTCTGAAACTATCACAATATTGATACAAATTTGGAATTTTTTTTAATTAAAAATAATAATATAGATTCTAAATATTATAGAATATAAAATACAATAATTGCAAATCACTTCTTAAGGCAGTTCTTAGTATTCAAAGCTCATAAATAACAAATATTTTTATAAAAAACGTTTGAGAGTTAGACTTATAAATAGGTAATTCATAATAAAGGTATGTATAAAAAAAAATTTGTTTCGTTACTATATGTTATATTACAGGAATTAACTTTACGACATAACTGTATTTTTATTAAAATTATTATAAATGTTGGTTAATACATTTGATATAAATTATATATTAGGTTACATTTTTAATCTCAGTAATATATTATAGTTTGGCTTACATACAATGCATTTTATATTATTGTATTGGCATTTTATGTACCTTATTTTATGTCTTATTAGATCTGAACAAAATATCCATCATGGATATCCTACAACTGAAGCAATCACACCGGTAGCTGAAGAAGGAGTTTCAAACAGTTATTACAATGTGAATGATTTGTCTTACAATGTAGACGATTATAGCTATAAAGAAGTTAAAATTCCTCCAGAAGAAATCAAATGGACCACAAATGGTCAGTCAGAACAGATACATATTGATGAGTTTTCGTCATCGGGATCAGTTGGAGGAAGCGGTGGTGGTAGTTATGGACAGAACTCCTATTATGACTTTAAGCCACGATATCCCACTGGTCACACTATTCATTACAGACCATCGATTACCAAACCCAAAAAAATGTATCAGCCATTGAAAGGGATACCCCAATACCCAATTCCTAATAAAATGGATTGGAAAAATATCGGTGTATTGCCTCTTATTAAACTAGGGATTCTCAAACTAAAGACGATTGGTTTTTTACAGCTGATGTTTCTAATTGGTTTCAAGTTTAAATTATTTGTGATAGCATTATTCTTTAAATTCATATTGTTATTGAAACTCATGAAATTTTTCAAAATGCTCATCTTACCGGTTTACATTTTTTCGTTAATTCCAATCCTCACATCATTGTATAATCGTATGGTTAACATGCAAGCGTCCAACGGACTTGGTGGTAGTAGTTCGTCGGGAAGTTCTTCTTTCAGTAGTCTTCCTGGTCTTATGTCTAGTGGTGGTTTCTCATCAGGTAGTTCTAGTGGTGGTACTCGGCTTCCAGTTTCATCAGGTAGCTCTAGTGGTGGTACACTGCTTCCAGCTTCATCAGGTAGCTCTAGTGGTGGTACACTGCTTCCAGCTTCATCAGGTAGCTCCAGTGGTGGTACACTGCTTCCAGCTTCATCAGGTAGCTCCAGTGGTGGTACACTGCTTCCAGCTTCATCAGGTAGCTCTAGTGGTGGTATGCGGCTTCCAGGTTTAACAGACGGTACTTAAGTTCCAGGTTCATCAAGTGCATCAAGCAGGGACTGGAACCGGAACCAAAAGAACCGGTTCTGGAACCGTTTCCTGGAGAAAATCTAAGAACCGGGACTTTGGTTGGAACCCATATTTTATAATGCATAGAAACAGAACTGTTTTTTTATTAACAATACGTTTTCCGGTTCTTTTAAGTTCTTATCGGTTCTTAGAAATAATTGAAAATTTTATTTAAATTGGGTTTTGATGTAAACAAATAATTATTTTTCATAGAAATTGTTTTTTTTTTTAAACAAGTATAAAACTGGTATTTTTAACTCGAAATAATCGTATTATACTATCTGATTAATGTGTAAGCATACGGGTTGCATAATTTCTTTTGCTATATAACTAGAATGATCGAACAATAATGATGTGTTTTTCTTCGAACGTTAATGAAATAAACAATAAACAATATTTAGTTATTTATCTCTTTCTTAATGAGCAATATGTATAATGTTTAAAAAATACATTTTTAAGAACCGGTAAGTACCGAAATTAACCACAACCAAAACCGGAACCATTATTTTGTAATTTTATAAATCTGAATTATACCAGGAATCAATTATTTTTATTTTTAAGAACCAAACTGGAACCAGAACCGAAAAAATCCTAAAGGTTCCAGTCCCTGGCCTCAAGTAATAAATGACATTCTGACTTATCAGCTATTAATATAATTTCAAAAGAAAACAGTCTCCTTATTTTGATACTTATATATTAGGTATATATTTACTCCTTATAAACTTTACGACTCAAATGTTTTCATTAACAAAACTATAAAACTTTGGATTTCTTTGGTCCTACCATATCAATCTTCCAAAAATTACTGAACTCGGTTAAGTTTGTAGAGAGATTAGCTTGTGAATGAGTAGACTGGAATCATTCCCTTATGGATTAATTGGTAAGAACTAATTTGGTTTTTGAAACTCTTTTAAGCATATATTTTATACATTAAGTTAAAATTATAATTTAGTTCATTATATATGTAGATAGATCAATTACTACAATTTTGTGTTTTACTAAGAGAAAACCAAATATATTATATTATATTATATATTTAGATATGATATTTATATTATATAGTTAAAAATAGATTATAAACAATATACATTGTTCCAAATTATTCAAACATAAAATACTAAGGGTTCAATTATGAAGTAAATTGTTGTATTTAGTCATTGTTTTTTCTCTTTTCTCGTTATTAATATCAACGATAGCTATAGCTATGTAATATTATATTTTTTAATTTATACGATATTCAATGTTGCTATTTTATTTATCTGTAAATATGTTACTGTACCTATACATATTATACATTCATTAATATTAACTATAACTTTTTGTTAAAAAAAAATTGTTGTAAAACAATAAAATTGCTTTAAAATAAATACAACCATCATAATGTATAATGATAAATGACTTACGGTATATGTTGGAATGAATCATTCATTTATAATTTAAATGTCATTAGAATAGACCATTTTAAAAATACAGAATTTAATATTTGTTTATTTTAATATTATAATTTATAAGATAGTAAGTTTTTAAATATAGATACAGTGCTACATTAGATAAGTTTGTTTCTTCAAATTGTATCCAAAAGTTACATAAACTAATCAACTTAAAGTATTGTTATCAATGATTTTATTTAAATTTGAATTTTGTAAAAAAAAAAACTATCACATAAATATGTGACAATGCTTCTTATAGTTTTGGTTTTTTAAATCGTAGTTAAATAAGAGTAAATCATAATATAATAACAAATAACAAATTCACTATAGGATATAAAAACTGTAGAATGTTAGATACTAATTTAACTTGGCTTATTTTTGCGCAGAAATAAAGCAGACGTCTTATTTTAAAACAACTTATATTAATTGGCAAATAGTCCTTCGTGTTAGATGTCATGCATTTGATTTTAAATTTGTTATAATAACTCATAATAAAATTCATAAGCAATTAAAAGACAACTTGTTTCATGTCAGCTATAATCCAACTAAATTCTGAAATCTATGTTTTAAACTCTATATTGATCATATTATTACAGTTATTTCACATTGGAAATTAGATTTGTCTTAACGAATTAACATTCGATCTAACATGTGATTCCTAATAGGGGATTTCTAATTGCATGGTAGGTTGACATATTAACTATAAAATCATTTAGATTTTTCCAATTTAAAAATAAGTGGATCAAGCTATACACCAAAACCTCAGTCACCAAAATCCTTAGTTAAAATCAAATAGCAGCTTATAATTAAATGATAATTTTTAAAATTTAAAAGGAAATTACATGGCGTTTCAATAGTCATACCCAACGAAAAATTCCAATTATATTTTAAAAAGATATTAATTATATTAATACCAATAAGTCATCGGCATCAGAACATTTGAAAACATGGTGATTAACACGTTACAACTGTCATAGTTCTAACATCATAAACTGCAGTGACAGATGCAAGATTATAATTAATAGTAGCATAACTATTTTTTTAATAAATTTAATAGCTTAAATATTCAAATTTTGTTATTTATTTATGTAATTGATAATTCTTCAAAATGTCTTAACAAAAATTATTATTTAATAAAGATACTTAAAAACTTGTCTGATGCTGCCGGTGCACTACCATGTGTTCAGGCTTAAAACTATTGCTGATGTAATAATTAGAACATAGTAGGGCAATATTTCAATTTTGTATAATATTTTAGTACAAGGTACATTTAACATCATTATGTGGAAATACAATTCCATTATCTTTGGTAATAAAATTCATACTTACTTTATACTTTTACTATGATATACAATAGGTTTTGATGATTTCAGGCATCGGAAAATGTTGAGGTATAATATTATGTAGTCTTAATCATCTTACAAACACTACCTACGTACCTAATCGTTTTACATAATTTATGTCATGTGATATTGTTGAAGTGAAAACTTCTCTTGCGGGAGGCTCTTATTTTCGCTTGAACCATGGAGGTAAATGCGTGAAAATATCAGAGACACTGACGTAACGTAACGCGTAACGTTTTCTATCCAATGTATCTATAGTAGATACATTCTATATAATATATGATATGTGTGAGCGCGTGCTCGTCAGTGAATAGTGGCTCTTATACCATGGTTTAAGATAGTATGGTTGGCCATTCACTGACTATGGTATAATACTAAGTGGCGACTTCATACTGCTCCATGATCCATGAACCATGATTTCCGGGAAAACAATTCGGAGCTTTGATTTGCTGAATCTTGTGGTTCCCTAGTGGTTAACCAAAATGTTTATAAATTATAAGTAAGTAATACGCAGACATTGCAAGTTCCAGAAAGTAGAATCCAATCCTATTCAAGTCAAATGTTTACAACTATGTGGTTAATGCCTACTGGTTACGAAAATAGTTAATAGGTAGTAAAAAAAGTTGGTCTTATTGGAAAAAAAAGAAGTGTGTATCGCAAAGGGACACTTCTTAAATGGTACAAACATTTAAATAATTTAAAATAATATGGTCTATAAGTATACATAAAATTATAATTTAAATAAATTCATTATTGAAGGAAAAAATGGGGGAGAGCGTATTGTTAAATCACTCTGTATATTCTCGTATTCATAATTATTATTTGGCACAGTTTAAATTATTACCTATGTATTCCAGACATAATCACTATATAAAAATCTAGTATCCATAGGAATTATTAATTTATTTTATTTTTTATTAACCTAACCTGATAAGTGATAATATACTGCTGCGAACCAGAATTTATATTCCGACAACGGAAAAGTTAATATACATTTTGAACACATAACGAATATTAAATAACGAATTGAACAAAGTTTGAGTCATATAGAGTTGGTACATTTAACGGGTAACGAAGTGCACGGGGTTAGCTAGTGAAATATAATATAATCGAAGATATCCAAACTGACTCAGCTACTTAAGACTTAAGATTAGCTTGAGGTTGCAATTTCCAAGGTACCTTCGCACTACCATGTAAGTGTACACTAAGATAGTATCTTCCAGAATTCACATTTGTGGTGCTTGCACGAGTATTTTTAGATTCAAGATGATTGATGAAATTTTTTAAGTTTTGAACATCATACACCGAATAAATAATTTTAAATAAACGAATTGAATTTGAATGAAATAGAGTTGGCACTTTTAACCGGCAACTAAGTACACAAGTTCAGTTGTTATAAATTATAATATAATTGTGATAGTTACATACAATTTTATTAGGTACCAGCTGATCCCGTGCATTTCGCTAACCATTAAAAATGCCAACTCTATATGAATAATGTTTTATTTTATAATATAAAGGTTGCCATAACAACAATTTTAAAACAATGGCAACCAATAAGCATTATTATAATAGCTTTGAAACCCACGGCAACCATTTATAAACAAACACTTCCATCGTATATCTCAAAATCCCTGTCAGAACACCTCCTAGGGTTGGTCCTCTCTCTTTTTAAATTAGCATATCTTCTGCCCAGAGGTCTAACCTATCTCTGTACCAAATGATCCCACGTACTTCGTTGCTCGGCAACCAATAGTTATTATTATAAAACCTTCAAGACTCATGGTAACCATTTATAAACAACAATTTCCATTGGAAATCTCAAGATCCCTGTTTGAACACCTCCCGGGGTTGGTCCTCTCCCAATATAAATGAATAACATAATAAAATTATTATAATATCAATATTATAATATTATAGGAGTATAATGCCTTTCCGTGATTTTAACAAGGTCATGAATGCCGAATTTTTCAATTATTTTTAAATGTATTCTTGTCATAAACTATCAATAATAATATCAATAATTTCAAAACATTTGAAAACAATTTTTTAAAAAAGCGGGGAAGTGGCTGTACAGTAAGTTACAAGTGGGTCATTTTATAATGGATTGTATTAATATTGAATTTAATGATATAATATCATTGTATAAGAAAAACGATTCCGATCGGAGACGGTTTGTCAGTGATTATATTTTATATTGTTATTATTTATTATATCATGTAAGTTGAATTAATATTATAATACTATTATTTTTTATTCGTTTCTATGGTGACAAATAAAGCGTTAGAAATTAAAATCCCATTATTAGATGTTTTTCGTAATTTTTTGGGTGGTTTTTCCTATGGCATTGAATAACTATTGATAAAATCGAAAAATGACCTCTCTAAAGTACCATTGTGTTCCAATTAACATGCGAAGTACTTATATAGATAATCTGTTTATATAAATTCACCAAAAATAAACATCATTGTACATGTGTACAATACACCTGAATGGTCATTATAACTTATAAGAACGTTATAACAACCGATACAAATTAGAATATAAAACATAGGCATTTTGCCGGAATCTTTCATTTTAGTTCATTAAACGAGATATGCCACTATGTATGTGGTGTTATTATGAACGGTTTCTAGTTTATACAGTTTATATAGTATACCAATGAATAGGCAATAATATATTAGAGAATGTTTTATCTCTGAAACAATAAATTGTTCACGGTATCCTCTCATTGGAAACCGTGCCATAACTACCGTCTACCAGTGATGCAAGGGACGCAAATAGTAGCCTGAGTTAAGCTCATTAGAAATCCTACCTACCTACCTACCTACCCAATAAATTTAATTTTAAATAAATTATAATATTATTGTGATTTAATCCACTGATATTGTACCTGGTCCAATTGTGTTTTTGATACCTACCGTCAACCAAACTGCATATTTAAAAATTATATTTTGACTGGGAATAAAATTTGCTTGCATCCCTCCGATAAATATACATATAGTTTCGGCATTGATTGGAAAATATATATTATTTTATAAATTGAAACGCTTGACCTGCGATTCAGTTATTAAGTACTTCTACATAAGGTGGAATTAGATAATAATATTATAACAGTTGGACAAACGGAAATTGCATATTATCATGAACCGTATGTACTTAACCGTTTAGAATAATTTTCTATCTATATACGTCTTTATAACAGTGAAACATAATTTTTCATTTGGTATGGATGAAATAATGGATGTTATTTGGGTGGGGCAGATATTAGGTTCTTTGAATTTATTTGTTAATGAATCAGTCATACAATATACTAAGTAAACCTAACATCAACCATTTCAAAAAATTTGGTAGAAAGCTTTTTCGAATATTTTATATGATATTTACAGCGGAATTATGATTATTACGCGTCTTCGAAACAATTCTATGAAGCTCAAATGAGATACTAGTCTACATTACTAATCATGTAAGAAAACTTTTTTTTATAATTATTATATTGAGCAATTTTGCTGAATACGGTGTAATGGCATGCTTAAAAAATAATTAGGTTTCTTTATTTTATTTTATTTTATTTGATGATTTGAATGATTTAAAGTCATTATATAACTAATAATTCAATATTAATAAATGTTTAAAAATGTCAGTAATATCTGTAATAACTAATCATTCACAAAATGTAATTTGTCTTCAGATTTAGAGTGGTACCTTTATATTTTTGGATATATAATATTATTCCTAATAATATTCCTATGAAAAATATTTTTATTTTTATTTTTTTGAATTTGTAATATTTGAGTGTAAATTATGCATTGTACTAATACAAGTTTCAATACATCATACAACTATAAATGTATATTTTACCTATTTGGTGGTTTTGAATAGTTACAGAAAGTCTAATATGTATGCTATGCAGATGTAAAGTTGTGGACATTGGTAACCAAGATAATATTTTTACCCGATCACGCATATGTTTCAGGCCATACAATCACCGAAGACCCAAATTAATCATGAACATATTAACGATATTGGGAATGGTTGTAGCGACCTCGGCTGTAACGCTACTTTGTATACGATTTGGTATGGTAATGACAAAAACTCCGATCCAGGCAGGTAAAGTCTATCATACGACTGATGTCAGATCAATCGCCCACAACCGTGGTAAGCTTCTAGTTGTGACCGTACCACCTGACACTACCGTAGAGCTAAACGCGACTGACAAGTCAGTTTCTCAAGATCAACAAGGAATGTGGATTAGCCTCCCGGAATCTACTTTAACGGTATCTGAAAATCAATCACTGACAAATTATTCGTCCTTCGAACACTCACAGCAGGAAAATTATAGTAGATCTCTGTCAGACATAGGGCTAGTCCAAGATGACAGTTTTTTAGTCGGACCATCGACATCTAAGAGTGTGGGTCAACCGATCGATCTCCGAGAGCCGTCGATCAATATAAATCAGTACAACACAAACGATAACATCATGACCCTGGGTGATAACAGTGAGAACAATGATGAATACGTAACTGGCAATACTAAAAAGCATCAAATAAATGGCAGGTAAACATCTAACTACATAAAATTACTGTTGGATTGGCATTTAGTTCTAAATTAAATGCCAATCCTAAATTTCAGCCTTAAAATAGGTAGTAAAATATTATTATTATTAAATAGTGTAGGCCCTATATAATTACCAATCGCTATATATCTCCATCACTAGTAATACATTAGCATACTAGTCAACATTAACAATATTTAAGAAAATAAGTATACCTACATTATCAACAATAATAATAAATTAGTTTGTGGCTTGGCGTGGCTACTACCCACTGAACATTTTATGTTTCCTAACATCTCGGCAATGTATATTTTATGTATGAGAAGCAACAGCGTTTTGCGATGTTGGATGGTCGTTTTGGGCCTGTTATTATATATTATAAATTCGATGTTTCTATAACAAACAACCCTGCGCTGTAATAATATATTTTATAATTATCATCCCAAAAAAACCATTATAGGCGGTTATTAAATATTGTTAATATAATAGATTTAAAATAAACAGCAATAAAACAGCCCTAGATTGTTATTATATTGTATACAAATAACAGCCATAATAAACAGCTCTTGACTGTTGACAATGTTTGTATGAAAAAGAGTAACGATATTTATAGCCATATGTGGAAACAATAATGTGTATATGTTTATTATTGGATGTTGTTGAAAATATTTATATAAATACAGTTAACCCCATTTTATATATTTAGATTTGATATTTGATATTATTGACTATTGAATTATAAATAATGACCAGTGACTCAGTCTAGTAGGTAGTAGGTACCAAGTCTGTCCCATCGACGATCGACCATCAACGTTCCAGCCAAAACCGATTGCCGAATGCCGCTACGCATCCTCACTCTGAATGTTGCAGCTTACCAACGAAACTTACGAAACCTTTGTACGCGCCCGTTTTCTCGTACCTACTACTATTATATTATTATAGTCTCGTGGAATATAGTAATATATAGCCAGTGTCGTGCCACTGTGCCAGTGTTTTTTGGTTTTTCTGTTGTACGATAACAATCATGCCCAAGTATTGCAATAGTAAGGTAAGTGAATTTAAAAACTGTAATTCATAATAAAGATTTTGTAATTATGTAAAAGGTATATCCATATGAGAGCTTATGAATTTTTCTAATCGATAGGTAGGTACTAAGCATATTTTAACTTAAGTTGAGAAACTAAAATGTGCACCTTATGTGCACCTTATGTGCACCTATTGTGGCTACATATTAGCTGCAGGTTTCATAATTGTAAATAGGTCTACACTCTACACATTATTTGTTCTTTATTTATTAAATTAGTTAATGTCTGCACATACAATTTTGACATAAGTTACAAATTTACAATATATTATGGAACTATATTGTTTTGTATATTATTTATTTATGTAATATACACAATTTGTTTTAACTTCATCCAAAATGTATATTATAAGAAATTGCATACATCCCTTAATAACTCGTATAGGTATGTTTATTATTTACTCCATAATATAATTTGATTTATTATTAATTAAGATAAAATGTGAGTAATAATGATTTATTTGGTTCTTAAACTCTATGGGTAGGTCGTAGGTAAGTTATTTACAAAATTAAATTAATAAAATAATTAAAATAGGTAGGTACAATTGCCTAATGTTCAATTGCTAGTAATTTCTAGTTAATTGTAACTAAGTTGTGCCATTAGCTAGCATTAAAAATTAAACAATATATAGATATGTGTTAAATTAAATTATTGTTTTTTTTTTTATGTACTTATAGGGACGATCGCTTAAGCGATGGGTGGTAGTTATTTTTCCTGAATCAAACGACTACAGTGTGATACCAGTGAATTGGCTTGTCCAATCAATCGATTTGGAGGAACTATCAGACACACTGATTAACGTTGATTCAGTTCAGTATTGTAAATGGCCACCATTTAAAGTGACAAATATTGAGTTACTTAATGCCATTGATCCAGATAAATCTTGGAAGTTATATAGGATCAAAATCGTTGATAATAAAATTTATGGTAGGCGTCTACATAATACATTTGTTTAAAGTCCAAGGCTGGGCAAGTTAACAATATTTTTAACTCAGTTAAATTAAAATCTAAATGAAGTTAACAATTAAAAGTTAATTCAAAATTGTCCATTAATTTAACTAAGTTAGAAGTTAATCACAACTCACAAGTTAATATTAACTATTTAACTCAAGTTAAGTTAATTAAAAAAAAATAAGTTTCTGTTGTCATATAGGTAAAATTAAAATAATACCTTAAATTGTTTGTGTAATAATGACAAAGAACTATTTGTATTTCATATGTTCCAAAAAGTAACAATACATACCTACCTATATTTTTAATATACATTTTAACATTTATAACTTATAAAAAGTGTAGGTACCAGCAACTAAATTTTTACCAAATTAAGTCAACTATAATCAGCCAACTGACGACGACCGCGAAAAATAAGGGGAAAAATAATATTTGTAATTTCATAATAATTATTATAGGTATTTATAATATTTTATATAAAAATATTATAATTGAAATTGAAATCAACGCTTAACTTTAACTTATTAACTCGTTAATGTCCAGCCTTGGCTTTAAACACCTAATTTCTATACCTAGTTTGTATAATTTTAAGGTAATTAAGTAGTTTTATTTGAATTTCTAATTTTCATCATGTATTTTTAGACAATAGTTCTAAAAAAATATATTTCTGTTACAGTTAATTTTAAACAGGCGTGGTCCAAGCAAGTGGATATAGAAACTTCTGCAACTGAAAATGAAAATGAAACACCTATATCCAATAAAAAGCGTAAGATGAGTTCATCTTCAGATGACAGTTATGAAGGTATAATTTTTATAATTAGAAAATTTGAATACAATTGGTTAAGTACCTACCTACATAATTTAATTAAAAAAATGTTCATCTAGGTATAAATGTAGCTGTTGAACCTGTCAGTCATAAAAATGTTGGTGTTCCTTATGCAACTGAGTCTATCCGACATTACACCGAATTACAGGTAACGAATGATACAGCATCTATTGATCAACAACCATCTCCTGTGTTACAAACTGAAGCTAGTACATCATTTTCAAGCTCAGCAGTTATCATAAATACATTCAATGAAGATTTAAACCAGGTAAAAGTTATTTTATAGTGATTATAAATTGTTTTCATTAATTTATAAAATTCGATAAGTTTTTCAGTAGATATAATAAGGTTAAAAACTATATTTAATTTAAGATAAATGTGTATTCTTAATATTTTTTCTTGAAATGTTAAATTAATTCATTACTTACATAAATACTTAAAAAGCATTAAAAGCATGCAATTTTAAGTAGAAAAAACTACTTTAGAGTAAGTGTTAAGACACAATAATGACAAGAATAGTAATATTATGTAGATACTTCTTATAATGTTTGTAATATTGAAATATCAATTTTATTATTGTTAGCAGAATTATACACAAGAAAATATTGAGGACTGTGAACCGTATACTCCAACTTATAGTTCTTATCGCAATGACAATTCGATGGGTAAAAACTAATGATTTTTTACATTCTTCTTGTTGATTTGACTAGATTTGTTTAAACAATAAAATAATGTTTTTTTTTATTTTTCTACTATATGGATATATTTTTTAGACGCTGGAAGTATAAATCATATAGTTATTGAAATATTAACCAATATGCAAAATGAACAGCTAAACATTAAAAAAGAGCTAATAGCTTCTAATTTAATGTTATCGCGTTTATTGTGTAAAGTTGAAGTTCTAGAATGTAATTCTAAAAACACAAGTTTAAATTCAGCTGCGATGGCTAATCAGTACATTGACACACATTTTTTATCTTTGTTTCCAATCAACAACAAAGATGGCTTCCAATTAATTGAAAATAATATTATAAATGAATTGGACTTTGTTACAAAGCTGGTACTTTAATATAATTTAAATAAAATACAGAACTTTTTAATCTTCATTATAATATAGTAGGTATAACAGTTTGAAAATTAATTTTAGGAATCATTTATCAAAAGTATTGGTGGTTGTGGATCAAAAAACAATATAACTAGAGTACTACAGAAATTATTTACTAACGAATTTGCTATAATAACTACATGGACTGGTCGTGGGAAAAATATATCTATTTCCATAGGCACTTCAGAAGTTGTAAAACTATTAAGAAGTGATTATATTATAAATTCAAATTTTTATTTAGTACCTATAACTATACATAAAGATAAACACATTTATTCATTCAAACTTAAACTTTGTGTTGTTTTTTAGGAATCATTAAAGCTAATTCAAATAATACGTTAACTGATTCAGAGTTCGAAATTGTGGTGGCTAATTGGCTAAGACATGCCAATACTCGTTTGAATAGATCAAAATAAATTAGGTATATAAATTATAAACTAATTAAAAATCTTCAATTATAAAAAAAAATACTTATTGGGTTATTTAGGGCTATTTCATTGTTGATGCTTAAGAATAAGTATTGCATAAGCTAAACTTATGTCACAAATAAAATTCATAAATGAGACTTTGGCTTAAGAAAAGAAAAAGTATTACTTAAATTAAGGTTGCCCAAGACTTATCTTAAGCATATTGCTTTTAGTTATTATCACAAATTTTTATTTTTTAAATTATCAAAAGTATCTTAAGCAATACTTATTCTTAAGCTTCGGATATAAAATGTGGCCATAAATATTTTTAGTATTTTTCTATTTCTACTATAATTTATTTTACATAGTTAAAATTGTTAAATATGTATCATAAATATAATATATTGTACTTTTTTCATTGAATTTTTTGTGTTATGAAATATAATGGGATATGTAAATTTAAACTTAAACGTTATAATAAAATCAAAATACATAGCTTAAGGGAATTACAGAGTTTAGTTAAATAGACAATTGTCATAAAATATTTTTAAAAAAATAATAAGAATGATTAACTTGTTTTTCAGGTTCAAGAAGTATATAAAAAAAAAAGCTATCTACTGTTTCAGCAAAGC